CTTCCAGTGTTTTCCAGCTGGGTATGGCATTAGATGCCGTGTACGCTCGTAACACATTGCAGTTCCTCGCCCTCACGTGAGTCACCGCCCTCCCCGCATCTAGGCGGTATGATTGACCTGGTGTTCCAGGGTCTTCAATGCACTATTCCTCGTCTATGCTATTATACAATCCTCGGAAGTTCGCAACTCGTTGTCGTCCGTTTCCTCACAGAGTGGCTTCTCACATATCCCCGTCAACGCCCTCACGACGGTCCTTCCAATCGTCATCGCTATTGCCGAGCTTGCCTACGTCGCGCTCGCATGGACAATATATAACGAGTTTGGCTGGAAGGTGTACAAGTTCCTGGGTGCTGACCGGCGGATCAAGAAGATGTTTGCCGTCTATCAGATTTACCAGTGCCTAGTCAAGTTCGACGTTTTCTTCTGGGTTGGTTTCTGCGTGCAATTCACCTTCCTGGTGCTCGACCGCCACTCCTGGGAATTCTATGTCACCTGTGCAGCGCTTCCGCTATCAATTGTTCTACTGGTAGAGGGCCATCTGGCGGCTCGTTACGAGAACAAGTGGATGATGATGTCGTTCATTTCTGGCTGTGTCGGTGCCATGATATACTTTTCTTACAAGGTACGATCACCACCACATTCTGTCTAGTGTCTCGCTGCTTCAGCTTCATGAATACAGTTCGTCAAAGTTATCATCCAGAAGGACACACCCGAGTTTTCTCCTGTTTGGGAATCACTGACCACGTTTGGTGCGTTTTTGTCTCAGCCGCACTATTGCACGTCTGATGTCGTCTCAGCCGTAATCGCAATCATCCTACTCCTGGTAACATTTGTCTACGCATGGATGGTCATGCGAAACTTTGGCCGCGGCCTGAAAGACCAGAGTAGGTCAATGTCTGATTATTCTCTTCCAATGAGCCTCACCCGTTGTCCAGTCTCACGGAAACAGGCAAATGTTGGTGCCAAGCGCACAGGGTACCCATCATTATCGGTACATCCAAATCGGATGAGCATCGACTGAACACGCATACTCCGCTCATCCCAACGGACTTGTATCTCGTGAATAACTCGCAGTGCATCGATACTGCATACGATCCACCGACGGACTTAATACCAGTCGTCGTCCTTTTTCACTAGCCCCCCAGAATTTAACGTTATACACTATATTACACGCTTGTGTGTTGTTGCTGGACTCTTCCCAAGCGTCGTACGCGCTCTTTCCCCCTTATTCGGTACTGCGTCCTCTATTTTCTTTTTCGCCTTCCTCGTCTATGTAGTTATCTTGGCCTTTCGCCGAGCTGGTCGCGGGGTGGTGCTTATATGTATTTGTTAGCTGAAGTGCACGTGGTCAGAAAAATGGATAGCCTAAGCTGAGCATAAGCCCGTTCACGCCGCAACACACTCATGAATGAACGATGACCCAAAGGTAACAACTCCCTATTCCCCGTCGTTCGCCTTCGACCCACCTGAGCTGTTTTTTTTTTTTTCGGATAGGCACCGCGTATCTCGCGCTGCCCTAGACACCAGTGATTCCTACGCACCAACGCCGCCCCACTCGGGACGCTCGTCGCCATACCCGGGATACCACGATCCTTCGTCGACAACGACGGATGGCACGCCGTTCGGAGGCACACGCTTTGCGGACGACCTCGAAGGCCAAAACGATGATGCCATCGAGGGACTCAGCGCAAAAGTAAAACTGCTCAAAGAGGTGCGTCGTCGTCACCGTTCTTCTTCACTATGTGCGCTTTGTTATTGCGTCGGTCATGTTGACAAATGTCATTTCGTTGCTTTCATTTTTGACAGATTACCATCGGTATTGGAAACGAGGTCCGCGAGTCGACCATTCAGCTTAGCCAAATGGTGCGTTTGATCCTCTGACCGACCGATCGACCGACGACCGACCGATGATACTTTGAAATGGGACAGAACGACGCATTCGCAGAGACGTCTGGCATACTCGCCGGCACGTTCCGACGTATGAACAACATGGCAGGGCGCCAGGGGTGCCGCTGGCTGTGGTATATCGTCTTTCTCATCTTCGTTTTCTGGTTTTTTATCATCGTATGGTGGCTCCGACGGTAGCGGACTCTCGTTTTGCGCTGGTACTTCTTCATCCTCTGTTGTAACCGTCTACGTGCTATCAACAATACCATACGCATTTCCGGCATGTGGTTATCTGGTTTCGCGCCAGACTGACTAAATTGCAGGACCGGTCTCAGAATAGAATTACTAGAAGACATAATTGAGCAGGCAAATAAAAATATCCACAAGGTAAATACTTGGTCCACAATCAAGAAATACGACCCGAGTCCCCAACTGGAGGTCATGTCCCACCAAGTAATTCTGTACGCGCAATCTCCAGTATCATGCGCCGACGCAAATAAGCCATGTTCCTTTGTGTAAAGTTGAAGGGGGAGTCCACGCCTCGCGAAAGGGCCTCGAGAAACTGGCACGTGAAGACACCACAGTCGTAGCCGTTCTCTTGCTGAGGGGTATCCCTGGGACAATAGTCAACCCAGCCGGTCCAATCAAATGGCTTGGCTTTCTTGTTCAGATGTTCGAGTTCAACGTATTCGCGTAATAACTAGTAGTGCGTCAGTAGGTCAGGACGTAGAAGGGTGACTAGCCAGAAGGACCTACGTCAAAGACATCCTGCCTCTTCACTCCCATGCTGTCGAACGATTCAATTCGGCGGCGGCGGAAGTTTATTGCGGCCGCAGTCCAATGTGAGTTGCCATGGTTGATAGGAAACAAAGCAACGTCCTTCGAGAACAGGTCGAACTACCAGATGAATGGCCTTAAGTGACACGCTCACGCGACTATTGACGTGCGTCGTACCTTTTTAGTCCACTTCGCTAGACGCGCCTTTTGATACCCATCCCTAACCAACTTCTCAAAAAAGAACGAATTGAAGTAATGCACATTCAATATCGAGCCCTTCTCCGATCTCGCACCGTTCTTCACGCTCTTATTTCTAGGGTGCAACGCCGATCGCTCCAGGATAAGTTGACCGTAGAAATTGATAATCTCGTCATTTAACCATGTCCCAGGCCGCAGGCGGCTGAGATCGGCATCTGTCACCTGCAGGCTTGCCACTTTGGCGATGACGCCACGTTTCCCGAGCAATCTCGAAACTTCGGCATCATCCTCAGGAGAAAGGAAGCCAGGTAAGGGTGGTCCACGGATGCGACTGTTGATCTCTGCGTCCTTGTCACGCCGGGCGATGCGGAGTTGCTCAAATGATGGAATGAAAGGTGGAGGAGGTTTAGGACTGCATTGATTAGCATGGGTAGTGAGGTGATGAAGACGCAGAGAGCGCACCCGTTGAGAGTCTCCTTCGCTCTTTGGAGAGCACGCTCAAGGAAATCGGGTGTAATATTCTACAACTACCATCTTGAACAAAAGCTCAAAACGTTAAAATAAACAAGCTGACATCACCGTGAGAGTGTCGTCTTTGTTCGTCATTTTTATACCTTCGCCGAAGGTCAGTAAGTGACAGATGGGCTAATCTGTGGATTGAGTAATTGCAAATCGACCAAGATGACGACTTACACGACATTATCCCTTGACCATCGAGTAATTCTCGATACTTCAAAAAACCTGAGGACAAAATGGCACCCGAAGCACGACAAGACAGATGATACCACATACCTTGGAATGTCTGGAAGTCGGAAGTGTACCCCCGCGCACGCTCGAGCTCATATAAATGCTTCACTAGGGCCTCTTGATCTTCCTTTCTCGTTTCAAGTACGCGGGCTTTATGCTAAAATTACGCAGTGAGGATGCACGAAGACAAGCAAAAGGTGAAGACTGACGGCATCCTGGTATATATGTGGTCTTGCAGTCTTGCGAGAAAAAACCTTTTTGACTACCCGACCAGCGAGCTTCTTCTCAACCACCGCGATTGCTGCATCCACCTCCTCTCGAGATGCCGGTAAAGGGGAAGCAGACACGGTAGTGGATGCAGAGGTGGAAGACGATAGTTCAACAGCATTCCCTGGATCCGGTGGCTGAGGTCGTGGAGTAGGAATCCGCGGTAGGTTCGGTGATGGAGGGGGCGCCATGGAACGGTAGTAGGGATTACGCTTGGCTTCCGCTCGTGGTTCAGTCTGAGGTGGTTGAAGGGTGCGTGGTGGTTTCAGGTGCAGGCGTCTCAGTGAAGGGACTAAGGAACGCGCCTGGAATAGCCGGGCGGAAGGGCAAGACGAGACCGTCTTTCCCTATAGAAGTAGATCTCGATGGACCCGGGACAGGAGTAGAGGGAGGTTCTGGAGAGGGATACGAAGCCTCGAGGATTCGTCTCGTCCCAGGTTGTGGAGAAATCGCGGGTGTGGTGGGCGCCGAAATGAAACCTCCGACCATCTTGGACGCCTGCGGGTTTGGAGGTGGCGACGAGGATGCGGCGTGTGGTCCTGAGGTGTCTACTGAACGTTGTGGAGGTGAATCGAGCGAGGTTGGCGAGCCCGACCGCGGCGGAGTTCCTTTTAATCGCATTCTGTGGGGTCGTTCACGATGGAGACGCGAAGAGCGTAGAGAAATTGGTTGGGGCAGGTATAGATTTGGGACGTGCTACCTCCGTTCTTCGTATGTGAGAGGAGGACGGCTGAGGTGGGGGAGCCCTTGAAGCTATGTAGGAGCTCAACGAAAGGGGAGAAAGGATGCATGGTCGAGAACAACAGACCTTCAGTGAAAACGCCAGATGCTGCTTTAGTGGTCAAGTTTACAAGACTTGAGATCCACTGGGACAAGAGGCCCTCGTTTTGAGAGGCGGTGGGGCTGTCAGCGTATAGCGCAGTGGTTCTGGGATGTTTCGCGGCTCGGATGGGGAGGATTGGGTCTTGCGGTCCCCGCTTGAGGTCGAGCATGAGTGGACGGGGAATGTAACGGGGATAGACAAAGAGGTGTTGGTTCGGAATAAAGTAAAATCTCGGTTTAGGTTTAACCATCAGTCACTCTTCGCTTGCTCCATGTTCAGCTGTTTCTCAGATGTTCATGAAGCTTGGATGGCTCAGTTGGTTAGAGCGCAGGTCTCATATTCAAAGTATGAGTGATCAGCCGATCATGTAATCCTGAGGTCGTGAGTTCGATCCTCACTCCGAGCATGCTTTTTATCCCGTCGTGCCTCTATTATGTCAAGTGCAGATGTCACGATCCTGAATCTTGACGCGACCCATCATGTCTGCATTGGCTGGACCTTCTACGCCGCGCTCAAGAACATCTTTTGCACCTGCCACTCCCGCAGGCGTGACACATGCTTCTCGTACAGCTCATTCTGGTACGGTTCAAGCATCTCCACATTATCAGACAACGCGTAGGCATTCCCTCTACGGTACCGAAGACCGTATAGTAATCGATCCTGGCTCTCGTGTCTGGAAGGTTGGCTTCAGCGGAGAAGGCCGCCCGCGTGACGTCTTTTTTGTTCACCCGCTATGGAGTCTCCGGCGCTCTCCAGATCCTATTCAACGAGACGAGGATGATAGGGTGTTAGCAGCTCGAGTGCAAGCACACCTCAGATCTGTGTTTCATGAGTAAGTGCGTGTTCTTTGCTTGCCAGCGGCGTTCGTACTTACGCGACCAGTTCCCTTCTAACGGACCCAAAGTCCAGAAAGGTTATTATTATCGAGCACCCTCTCTTGCCCGTTTATGTGAAAGACATCTTCGCAAAAATACTCTTCGAGAATCTTCAGGTTCTACTTCAATCACCCTTCGTTATTATCGTTTCGCTCATTCATGTCAGGTCCCGTCAATATCGTTTGCTTCTAGTCACCTGCTTGGGCTCCTCTCTGTTGGCCGCATAACTGGTCTCGTCCTTGACTGTGGAGAATTAGAGTCTACAGCACTCCCCGTATGATCTTTTTTCTTTCTTTCGATTACTGATCTGACACATTTGTGACCAGATATTTTCCTCCCGACCCCTATTCCATCAACTCAGAACTACCCCTTTAGCTGGCGCACGCTTGACGTCTCACCTTCGCGCGCTTTTACTTCTTTTTGGTACCTACGTTCCACCGCCCACATCCCTTAGTGCCGCCGTCAATATGCCCAGCTCCTCGCGTTCTACCCGAGTGCCATTAGAGGTTCTTTCTGATGCAGTTCTCGAAGAAATCAAAACCCGCTGCTCCTTCGTAGGTGAATCCTTGGACACTGCATTGGATCCCGCCATCGTTTCGCCATCAGATGAAGACCCCATGGACCTCGACTTGCCTCCTAGCGACAGCGCGCCTTCTGAATCAGACTTCTCTCGCGTCTCGGCTGACCGTGACAGTAACGCCGGCCCAACTTCCTCTGATTTCTCGGTTGTTTCCCAGTCACAGGTTTTACCAGGGCGTCCGAGTCGCGATGAACACCAACTACAAGCACTTGCAAACCTGTATATGCGCCATTCGACGGCAACAGATTTGCGCCTGAAGGTTACTCCCCCTGCTTCGCAGCAAACCGGCACCGGCCAGGGCACCCTCATAATACCTGGATGGATTCGAGAGCGGGGCTCAGAATTGCTCTTCGAGGGAGGTGATGTCGATGAAAGTAGTATTGCCGAGATCATCCTGGACTGTTTGTTAAAGGCGCAACAAATTTCTCTGCTGCGCCGCCCCAAACTGATCTCCTTTCCCTCAGATACCAGTTGACCTCCGTAAAACACTCGCCACTTCCATTCTTGTAACTGGTGGAACCGCGATGCTCCCCGGATTCATCCCGCGGTTGCATGTGGAGCTCATCCGGGCGATTGTAACCTCGCCTTCCCCCTCTCCACGACCACCTATGCCCCCAGGCAGGTCCGGACCTCCGCCTTATGATCGCTACGCTGCGTTGCGCCCATTGGTTCCTCACTTTGCTATTTTGAACAACCCCTCTCCATCTCCTCCATCAGATCCGCGCGGGAGCGCCAACGCCGGGAAGGCTCCGGCGTTTACGCCTGCCACTATGGCTTGGGTTGGTGGTTCACTGGCAGGGTAAGCGCAGTCCATTGTCACGTTCCCAAGCCCCGTGACCCGAGCGCCAACCGTAACACGAATAACTTACAGGGCATTAAAAACGGGTGGTGCGGAAGTCCCACGAGAAAAGTGGGACGAAGCTGGGAGCCACCCAGACCCGGATGATCCCATGGAAGAGGGTGACGTCGTTGGGCGTTCGCCGGCCAACGTCATACCGGACTGGACGCGGACGCCGTTGCCCGTCGGTGCACCCCCTGCGAACCCCCCTCCACCCCAAATGCGCGAGGCTACCCCACTGGCGGTCGTAGGGGCTTGCGCGGCGTTGTGAGCCATTCTTGACAACGTTGCGTCTTGTGCTAGTGTCTTTAAGCTAACCTCATGTCCAATCCGATCTCGCTGTCACAAGCAGGCGCCATGCAGTGGCGTGCTAACACCCTATCCGGGAGCCGAATAACCGTGGGCCCCAACAAATTAACACCGTTAGAGGACATCTACAGACTGAAACAAAACAAGCCTTCTGACAAGAAGCGGTGTTTGTGCGTGAATAAGGACTTAGGCTAAGATGTCCGATTAGGGTCGGAGTTCTCCTCACCGCGGAGAACGAGATGTCAGAATGTTGGGAGTGACATGTCTGCATGATGTATATTTAACCAGGTGCATGATGAATAGAGTAAACGTGGATGTGGGTTTGAAAGGTCGGAAGCGGGGAGCATTCGGAGGAATAATGGTCACACCGTCACCTAGACCAACCGAGAATATTCACCTTCTCTTCCCTCCTGCACTTCACTGACTCATCCCACGGCCCACCGCACACCCGATTTCTCTCACTCTCTCTATTCCCCATTTTCGTTATCGCCGTCAGGTTATATAAGTCAACATCGTCTATCCTTGCAGTCTCCTTGCCCTTCTCGCTCGCTTTGTGCCCCCATCCCATCCGAGGCTGTCAGATCTCCTAAATCTCCTCTCTCATCATGGGCATGAGTTATAGACGTTACCTGGCGGGCGCCCGCGTATATGGTTGCCTGAGCTGCCGCACTCACCTCACTACCATTCACTCGATGATATCCAGGGTTAGTGTGGCACTCACCCCAGCCTTAACGACAAACTAACGGGTGGCATCCGCGTGCAGGCATTCAATGGGCAGCATGGTCGTGCCTACTTGTTTGAAGATGTGTAAGTCTGGATCGGAGTTCCGCCAAGTGGGAGCGTGCTAACGGATGATGTGCGCAGGGTTAACGTTATTGAGGGCGAGCCGAATGACCGTCAGATGACAACCGGAAATCATACTGTGCGAGACATTTATTGCTGCAAGTGCGGCGCCACGCTCGGCTGGAAATATGTTCGCGATTTTTCGTTGCCCGCCGCTTATTCTTTGCTTCTCACGAACGTGTCTCTTTCGGCAGGATAAAGCATACGAACAGTCCCAGAAATACAAAGAGGGAAAGTTCATTCTTGAGCGAAACCTCCTGGTCGACGTGCAATAGTCAGCTTGCCCTGAAGCACGCGCATCTCGGCGCCCGTCACGGTTCATATATCGGCTTATTCGGCAACCACGCATCTGATCTCCTTGGGCGTCGCGTTTTTTTTATTATCTTTCTTTTGACGCGCGGCGGAACATAACCGCGCCGCAAGCCCATAATCAGCACTCGTCCAACCTCGCATCCACACCTTTGCATCCTCATGTTGATATCGAATTCTTGCTCCAACCCATCGAACAGTTACTCCATGGAATATGCCCCACCCCCAGCGACTGACAGGCGATTCTCCCACGTTTCCCCGCCATTGGCGCGAACCTGCCAATCAGACGCCACTGTTTCGCGTATTACCGAGGTGCAATGTATTTACGGTACCTCTCCGTAACTCATTCGAGGAACCCGCTGGGATTTACGCCTGGCTGACGCATACTGCGGCCCACATGGCGTTTGTTTTCACACTTTGTATATCTCCCAAGTTGCTTACCTACTTACGACCTACCCATTTCCTCTCTGTTTCCCTGCAATTTTCCCCGTCCCGGGAGTCACATTTTACTTTTGTTGCCCACGTGTTACTCAATTCGACTTATTTCTATCATGGGGTTTGACAACGATTTTGGGTTTTCTCCCATAGAAGTTTACTTTTTGTATTATGCACACGTGGAGGCGAGGATATGATATTTTTGTCAGAGGCTACACTTCCACATGACCAATTGTATTCAAGGTTATAGATAGTATATATTTTTCCTTTTCACAAAAATCACGGCAGGAATCGCACCTGGTCACCGGCAGCTCTTGGGAACCGGGAGCACATGTTCCTTGTCCGTGAGAGTACTTTCTGTAGCTGGAGGTCGGCCGCCACGGCGTTTCGAGGCGCAGCTGGAAGCGAGGCGATGCTGGACTGCGCGCCACGTGAGTACTCCATCTGGTGTTCTTGCCTGCCTACATCGCGCGAGCGCTGTTCTGTGTAGTCAAAGGTTTTGTATTTTCCTTACGCGGTTACTGTAACTAGCGTGGAACATTGATTTGGTGGGCTCGACAGAGGGTAAGACCTGATAAGGGCCTGTTTCAAGTTTAGACACATTGTCCGTCTGGATCCACACAGTGAGCCGTCGACAGGTTCTAAAGAAAAATCGAGTGCGCTCATGTCCACCGTCTACGAGCAGAAGGGGTTAGAACCGTCAGGGGCCAACAGATTAAAATAATTTGATATCGGCAATACAACACGGTTGTCCAACTACTTACTCCACTTCGATAGAGTTTCGTCGCTCGCTCTGAGTTATACGGTATCAACTCGGAGAATTATCTCCTGGGACAGAAAGGGGGTAGCCTGGGGGAGATCTGTGTCAATTGGTGCCACAATTACCGAGGCTATCGTTGGAACAAAGGTGAGCCTTTTTTTTCTCCTCTTTTAATTACGTCAATTAACTCGCCTGTTTCAAAGTCACGACCGTTGGAACAAAGATACACCCAAAAATTAGCAATGCCTTGATTTATATCGGTGGAGTCTCTCAGAAGAACATTCCACGTCCACAGCTAGGCTGATGCACAACGATGTAAAATAACCAGCGCACTGTTGGTCTCGTAGGCCACTATCCATTCGGCAGCGTGGAACCATAGTCTAGCCGCCTAAGACCCAGGCAGATCTCCGTAGAGTGGTCGCCGACACTGCCTCAGAGAATTCTACGGTATGAATAA